TGGGGGGTTTTCCTTTTATTTAAATCTTTTTCATTTCATAGGTTTCTCTCTGACATGAGAATAATCTGTTTCTTCAGACTCATAACTATGTCAAACCTGAATTCATCTAGTTCACTCTTGTGACCAGAGCAAAATGCACTGTAAACTTGAAGGTTTCATGTAACTCTGAGAACTCTTACAATTCATACCTTTTACAGAATTTTTAAACATGATTCATTTGAATATATGAATTCTATTGAAGGGATCACTTACTCAAAGTAAAACAAATTGGTATACATGTGGGTATGAATATGTATATGCATACGTATGTGCATGGCTATCCATATGACACTGTAATAGGCATGTTATCAATAGGAGTTCAGCAGTCAGTTTCTCCTGCTAAGGCTTCCTGCGTGCACCTGATAAGAAAATGTTAGATGACTGATGTTACAGGACCCCAAATTCTAACGGTTTTTTTTTTTGCAGATTTCAGCAAATCACATGCATAGATGCACGTCCTTGATAGTAATCAGAACTGTTAACGTGTTTCAAGAAATCGACCACTTCTAACTTCCTGATTTTATTAGGTTCTTGGCTCATGTAAGGTATAATGTAACTGCAGAAAACATTAATAGCTAGAATTTCAGGAGGAGTAATTACAGATGAAACTTTAAAGGGAACAGTTTATTTTTCTCTGAAAGAAGAGTGGAGCTTTAGAGAAGCTAAATGTGTCCAACAAGTACTCTTGAAATTTAAAATCAGAGTTAAGGATGCTCTGGTTTTATTGCAGAGATGTCAAGAAGATTTTTACAGGATGATATTTATTTCCTTTCAATTTCATAGATTCACTTCAATATTGTCTTCTTTTATTCAGCTATTTTTCTTGCCATTAAAATTACTATTTTAATTTTTAGTCAGGGAAGTTTAAATTTAACTCCCTATTTGCGTAAATGTTCTTGGCAAACAGTTCCAAAATTATTTTGTCTAGATGAAAACAAATGTAGAACATCAATGCTCTGGAACTTCTACCAGACTTTGTTTTCCCTTTCAGTTTGGGAAGTCTTTTAGATCATCAAGCTTTTCTTTGAGAGTGCCATCTTTCTGTCTGTGATGAATATGGGAATAGGCTCTATATTAAGACCAATTAATTCTCTCTCAAGAAATGAAGGTAAAAGGACAGGAGGGAGTTAAGGACCGAAGGAGAAAACTGTCTTGTTGAGATTTCTGTGATAGTTGGCACTTACATGGGGTGTTCTTGTTTGTTGCGTTTAAGATTGTGTACATTTTGTCATTTATATGACAAAGGTTTTTCGTATCTGGCATTGTGAAATATTGCCAATACTTGAATAAAACATATTTTATTGTCTGACTTCCATTTGCTGAGGTCTTATGCAGGTGTAGACAGGAAATATTATATGCAAGGAAGAGTTTATCTGATTTTCTTGTTAAGCACGTTATTGACGTTTTTTACGTTGCTTGAGCATGGTGTCAGAATGCAGTCCTGTTTTATCAAGAGCTTTTGCAAGATCAGTTTTAGGCTATAGCAGTTGGTGGTAGTGTCATATAGAATCCCACTCTACAGGCTGTTTGATCATGGGTCACAAAGCTAAATGTATGTGACATTAGGGTTAGTGGACTGCTGTACTATGAGTTGTCAAATAAAAATCTTAATGCAAATCAGCGATGAGAGATTGTAGTGCAGCCTCTCATTTAGTTAAGGTTTTAACTTTGGCTTCTCTGTCAGGTTTTCCCTTTCAGTGTCAAAGAAATTGGCATGGTACACTAGAAAAATATAAAGAGAATTATTTAGTGGATGTATTGGGATTACCTTGGGCTGATAATGCATTGTGGGTTTTAGGTTTTTAAATACTCCTTAAGATTGATGTAAAAGCCCAATGAAAAGTATTTGGAGTCATATAAATGCCAGACAGTCCTTTCTGAAAGGTACAGTGTGTTTCCTGAAACATTTCAACTAATGTTCATAAAATACGGAAGCACGTTTAACATTTTGTGAGTGTTTCTGTGAATACAGTAGAAGTCTTACACATTGAATCAGTGTCTTTTAAGAAAACACTCAAAAGTTTAATGGTAACCATGTAGAGATGTAAGCCTGTTAAGTATAGAAATAAAACCACTGAAAGCATTAGGGTCCCTTATCCTGTTGAATCTTCTAGCATTTATTCTAATGGTTGTTTTAAAAGCTGTATCAGTTGTCTAACAAGTAAATAACAACCTTCTCAGAGAAAAAGCTTGTGGTCTGTTGTTTTGAAGTTCTTGATAAAATCAGTGTGATGTGGTTGCCAAGGATATTTGCCAGAAGTAAAATTTTAGGTAGTTAAAGGAGGTAGAAGGAAGAAGGAAAGATTAAAATAAAGTTATTGCAAGCTGTTTAGTTTCTAGGCCTGACTAACTTATTAGATTTCAGAACAGGTTTTTATTTAGTTGCTTTTAAATTGCCTGATGGCTGCTAATGGTTTCTTTCCCTCCCCCATGGACCTGCAAAGAAAAAGATTATTTTATATAATGCCATATCTGTTTTCATATTTAAAAACTAGGCCCCGAATATTTCCCCTTAAAAGATAAACAGAACGAAAGATTGAGTAAGTCTTCTTTTTTCTCTGTTACCTTTAAAAATCTGGTTTTGGTGAGCAGTACAAGATTTTTCTTATTTTAATTTTGATAAGAAAAAGTTAAAACATACATGTGCAAATTGAATTTTAATTCTGATATAGGAGGAAAGAAACCACATTTTACTTGCTGAAAAACAGAGCACATACAAATACTGAGTAATTTACTTGGGTTTCTTAGAAAAAGTAAACATGAAAAGATTATATCAACATCAGCAGCAGCATGTATATAGATACATGCTTTTCCTGTTTTCCAGCCACATGCAAACATTGCCTTCAGTATTCTTGAACATATGTAAAAAATTTTTCTGTATTTTTGAATGTACAGAGATGATGACCACCTGCTCTAAGTTTAGTCATTTTCTGTGGCAGAATTATTCTTCTCTTGTATATGTTTTATCTCTTCGTATGTAAAATGTAATATACAATACATGACCGTACTCTGATTTGAATTGTAAATAATTTAAAAAATATAATGGTTTTGGATTGGCTATGTTTGTACACACAAAAAAATAAATAGAAAGGAAGTGATTGTTTAGTAATTCGGCTTTCTCTAAGTCAGTTATTTTAAAAATGAGATCTGTATTTCAAATACATACTTTGAAAATTGCATGACAAAAAGTATGCATATAGTTGGCTGAGCTTTTGTTCGCAGAAACATGAAAAAAAGAGAGGATGCAACTGTTAAAAAACTGAAAATGATAAATAATCTGACAGTTTACTTTGGACACTAATAGAACCTAAAAGCTTTTAAAATTACAGAAATTTCACCAACTTTAGTGATTCATAGGATTATTTTTGTTAAACAAGTTGGTCATATAGCTGGCAGTTTTTCTTTTGTATGACTCTTGTAAAATATTATACTGTTATCTGAATGAAAAGCTGTTAGAGTTGTGTCAAGGAATATGACAACATCACTTCAGAAGATTAAAGCAAATCCCAACTGTACATGTATGCGATTTCTCCATGCTTTTTTTTCAACCTTTATTTTATTGATGTAACCCTCGAAGAAAATGTGCTACTCTTGTGGTATCTTACTCTGTGAAATGTGCTTTTGAACAATTGTATTTCTTCATGGAACGGTGATTTCTGTTTACCGCATCCTGGTTTATACCCACTAAAATGCAGAGTGTTTGGTCTGCGGTATGATATAAAGTATATTTTTATTACGTAGCACCTTCTAAAATAACACAGATTGTAGAATACCCTTTAGTCATTTAGTGTCAAGTCTAATGAAATTCCTATTTAGCATCGACTGTTTTCCTTTCAAATGTTTTGACAGTAGTTATCCCTGTTAAGTGCTCGCCCTATTAGGCTCGGTAGCTTGGACGTAACTTGATCTGTGTTTTGTTTCAGTCTGTTGTCTGCTGACCTAGAGAACACTTGCATTAGCTGCATTGATCCATCCACATCACATCTCATCATTTAGGAGACAATTAATACTGCCGTGTAAAGACTCCCCAGAGAATTTTCTTAGAGCTGGATTGCTTTACACAGAAACCACAGGAGTTGTTTGCAAAAGGGGGAGAAGACAAGTAGGAGGAATAAAAAAAAAAAAAAGGCATTAAGAAAGCTTCGTCTAGGAACCGAGTTTCGTTTCCCGTGGTGCCTTTCACTCATGTAATTCAAACTCCCTTTTTTGATGGACTGTTTGGGGATGAGGGGGAGAGAGAAAAAAAAGGGAAATAAAAAAAAAAAGCTGTGCTTTGAAGTTGATTTGTGGAAAAGACATTATAAAAGGTCACATAAATGTTCTAAAAATCTTACTCTTAAGAAATACACATTTCATTGTGATACTTGTATAACTTGCTGTTAAAAACGTAATTGTTTTAACTTTATATTTTTGTCTCAAGGATTACTAACCTGGCACCTTTTGATATACCGATTGACATGTTTTAATCCTAATGATAATTATTTTTAAATAACATTTTAATAGAGACAAAATGTTTGTTTCTCATTCTATCAGTTTTGCTGTAGTTTCTACCACAAGCGCTGAATTTTGGTGTAGTCTGATACTGTTTCTTAGGAATTGTAAGTGTACATGAATACATTTAGTTAATGAGCAGGCAGAGGTCTTAGTGTGCTGTTTCAACTTTTGGTAGTGAAATATTCAGTCTTTAGAGATCATCTCTTCTTTTTTCCCCCCTTCTAACTTATAGTATCCAGATTGGCTTGGAAAGTTATGTGTTTGTAGGATCTACACAAACAGAACTTGTTTAAAACATCTACAGATCATCAGTATGTCAACTTTTGGAAATCTCTCCTTTTGTTTGTATGTTTATAGAGGTATTGTTAGTTGGTTTTGCAAGGCTGCTTTTGAGTGCCATCTTTATGTCCTAATTGAAGCATAATTGAAGAATCCACTTCATTTAGATCAACTTTTGGTATTTGCAGGTACTACAGAGCGGGTGTGTCTGATCCAGGGAACAGTTGAAGCACTAAATGCAGTTCATGGCTTCATTGCAGAGAAGATTCGAGAAATGCCTCAAAATGTGGCCAAGACAGAGCCTGTCAGCATTCTACAGCCTCAGACCACTGTTAATCCAGACCGCATCAAACAAGTGAGTTTTTGGTTGGGAATAGAGAGTCACAGCAGCTCCTTGGAAGTCTTAAAACTTTAAGGCTGCAAGGGGTCAACATAATGTGTTCTTTAAGAAAATATTATTTTACCCTTTAGTAATTTGCTGGTCCTCTTTTTCCTTGTACTTACATGTTCCATGTTTCTCAGCAGTTCTTTTAGACAGTGTTTTATAAGTTTCAATGCCACACTCTAATGTGTTTCTTTCATAGACCTTTCTTTACTGTATAAGGATGTAACCTTATACATAACCATATAAAGATCATAACCTTACTTATACTGTATAAACTTTCAGGTTCTAGTTAAAGGTCTCTGAATTTTAATCTTAAACCTCTTTGTAAATCTTTAGCATTACTAAAAATCACAGATTAACTGAATGTTTCCTACTTTTATGTACAGAAAATAAAATTTTAAATGTTAATTTTTTTTAGACCCTATATTAGATACTTTAAAATCTTACCTGTAAGAACTTGAAAATATAAAAATAATTTAATTGGGATGTTTTCTACAGTTCCTTTTTATGTTATTTTTGACATCTTTTTGCCTGTTTTACATTGACTTCTTTCAAAATCTATGAGCAATGCAAAATACATTTGCAAGGTATTATTGGTCTAGTATTCATTAGTCCTTTATATTTTCTAGAACAATTTTAATTTTTTAAAAAATTGCCCTGTAAGGAGAATGTAAAATGTGTGTCATACAGGAGTTAAAATTATTTTCCATTGTACTGAATAAGAAAAAGATGAAGAAAGAAATGAATGAACATTAGTAAAATTTTGTCTTGTCTCTCTATCCTATATAGGATAGATTTTAGTTTCTCACCTGTCCTATATGGGAAAAGATTGTTTCGTCCTTCTGCACTGGCAGGATTCAGTGTCCTATAAAGTAATTTGGTAACTGTATGCAATTACTTTACTTTGTATATAGTGACATACACAGAATGCTTATATGAAGATGTGTTTGAACAGGATGAGTTTGGAATGATCAGACTGCTTTAGATGGATGAAACTGTGCATAAGCCTTTGTATATGATTTCTAATATTTACTTCTATATTATCTTTTCTGTATACGTGATACTTATACATAAAAATATTCTAGATAATTTATAAGAAATACTAAAAGGAAAAGCCCCAATTTTACAGGACTAATTTCTCAATTGTTAGACATGAAAATGGTTATGCCCGAGACAGATAAAAGCTGAGGTGATCTATATTTTGAATGGTTTTTCTGCTCATAAAATGTTAGATTTTATGCCAGTACTTCTTAAACCAATGAGAAATTAGTGTACTCTATTACAATAAAAAGTGGTTTTTCCCCTTTGCAAAGAAATTAAGATAATTTTTAGGTAAGTCAGTAAGATCCTGAGAAACTAGGTTACAGAGCTGTATAATGACACGCCTAAATACTTCCTGTCTTGCATCTGAAGTTGATACAACTTGTCCACAGTTCTTCTCCAGAAAACTTATTTGTAAAGTTGTTGAGGGTTTTTTTAAAATTTTGTTTTGTTTTGTTCTGGTTTGGTTGTTTGGTTTGGGGTTTGATGTTTTGGTTTTTTTTTATTTTTTATTTTTTTAAAGCACAATTCCATGTTTGGAATGTTGAATTAAACTCTGGAGGGATGGATTAGTGAACAGAGCCTGAGGCTAGTGAAGTTAAGACACATACTAAATACAATGTATAACTTGCAAGACTGTTATTTAGTGACTGGCTGTACATTGTAAAATTTTGATATATTACCTGTATACATACAGGTGCATAATAATATGACTGCAATTATTTGGAGATATGCATGTGCATATGTTGAGCAGTTTTAACCACTTCTCTTTTGATGAAGCAACATCTATTCATGATAAATTGATACACTATAAATATTGACTCAACAAATCTAAAATCTAAAATCCATTATTCTCACCAAGAAGTGAAATTGTCAGCTTAGTTCTTAGATAGTTTGCATTGAAGTAATCTATAATTTAATGTTAGAAAATCCTGTATCTTAATGAAAGATGTCATACCTTGACTTAAGAAATTAAAAGGATAATATTTTGTAACAGGTAATCGTGATCTAGAAGGCCAGTGCTATTTTTTTAATAGCAGACAGATCGTAATTTTATTAAAATAATCAGGATAATGTATAATGCAAATCATTTTGAACATGGCAAAAAAAAAAATAAAGCCTTATGAATTACAATTTCCTCTTTTACACAAACTTTTACATGTTTCTTTCTGTCTTAGAGTATTACTCAAGAACTTTGGCACCCAAAGTATTATGTTGCAGGTTGAAGAAAGTAGACTTAACATTTGAGATTGAGAGTTGATTTGAAATAATAAATTTTATCTTCATTAGAAACTTTGAAGATATTTCTGTTGATTTTCTAGCTATTTTTACCAAAAAAAAAAAAAAAAAAGAAAAAAGGTAGGTTTCTGCCCATGGATGAAGATACCTGTAGTTAAAGCTTTTCAATGCCACCCATGTCTGTATGAGCATGCACCTCACATTTCTCTGTTGTAATTTCTTTGTCCTGGGCTGCTTTACCAACACTCGCCTCAGAGAAGCGAGCTAAGAAAGGAAATCTCTTCTGTCTACAGTTTCAATGAAGAAAGACTAGGTAAACCCTTTGCTGACTGCTTGAGCTTCAGAACTTTCTGTCTTCAGGAAAGGCACGGGTATACACAGAGGCTGAGTCTGGCCTGGCATTTCTCTTTACTAATGCAAGTCACTATCCAAACATTCTGTTCTCTCTAACTTCAAGTTTTTCAGCTTCAGCAGATTTGCAAACAAGTCTATCTGGTTCCTTTTGAGCCTTCTTTGCATTTTTCTACATCTCCTACTCCTGTGGACTTATCAGTATATACCCAGGTAGTTCTCTCCTCCAAGCAGGTCTGATAGATATTTAATTGACAAATGTTTTCATCTTTTATCTCCATATAACATGGGCAATCTCTTAATGGATGTCAGCCATCTGCTGTTTCTATGTATCATTTGACAATAACCAACTGATTCCTGTGCCCTTTTACTTCCTGGAAACTGCTATGAGCACCTAATTTCCTTTTTCTCTCTTCATTAGTTGAATTGTCACACCAGATCTTTCAGACCAAATTGTAACCCAGGGTAACAGAATACAGTTTTCATAAAGTGATCAGGAGCCTGAGCTGTTTCAGCTTTGTAATTAGCATACAAATCTTTAAATTTCACCTCTAAATTAATAGCAACACCCATGAACAATGGAAAAGGCTGTATAACGTGGTCTTATCACATCACCTTCTTCAGAAACTATTGCAACTTCTTTGTATGCTAGTTGAATTTTCCTTCCAGCCTTCAGTTGTTTTACAAGTAGCAGGTGGTGTGGCAGCCTGTCCAGGAAGCACATGGAATCAAAGATGGCCATTGCAGAACTGTGCATTATATGGAAGGAAAGATGTGTGATCTTATACTTAATGGCTTTAAGCAGCAGTTTGCACTGTCTGGCCTTCCGAGATCCATTCCAACTTGAATCATTCTCTGATTCTGTGAAAAGTTTAGCTATTGAAGCGTGGACAAAGGTTTTAGAATTTCTTCCTTGAAAATCTAGGGTGAAACTTTGACATATAGAACTTCCAATTAATACTTTAATTGGATCCAGTTTCATTTCAGTTTTTTCAGTAGATCATTAACCTCTTGTGAGTCTTTAACTTCTCTTCATTAATCATGGTCCCAGACGTATTCAAAATCTGCAAAACTGAATGTCTGAACTCGGATTTGTAAATCCACATTTTTCTAGTGCAAATGACTACTTTTACTTTGGAAATGCTGACCAACAAAAAAAAAAGTTGAAATGTTCATAATTTTTAAATAAAAAGTTTTACTTTGACGTGCTTAAGTAGAACCTGATGTTAAGATTACAGTTCTGAAAATAATGGCTTAAATAGAGTGTTTTTTAATGGTTTATGAGATCTTCAAACTATAAACACTCAGTAGACTTCATAGAATCATAGAATGGTTTGGGTTGGAAGGGACCTTAAAGATCACCTACTTCCAACCCCCACGGGCAGGGACACCTCAAAGCCCCATCCAACCTGGTCTTGAACATTTCCAGGGAGGGGCAGCCACAGCTTCTCTGGGCAACCTGTTCTAGTGTCTCATCACCCTCACAGGGAGAATTTCTTCCTAATATCTAATCTAAATCTTCCTTCTTTCAGTTTGAAACCATTACCCCTCGTCCTATCAGTACAATCCCTACATATCACTGTGTATACATATATATACACACCAATAAAAAGTCTGTCCACATCTTTCGTGTAGGTCCCCTTTAAGTACTGGAAGGCCACTGTAAGGTCTCCCTGTAGCCTTCTCTTCTCCAGGCTGAACACCACCAACTGTCTCAGCCTGTCCTCACAGGGCAGGTGCTCCAGCCCCCTGATATCTTCATGGCCCTCCCCCGGACCCAGTCGAGCAGTTTCATGTCTGTCTTGTGCTGGAGGTCCCAGAGCTGGACTCAGCACTGCAGATGGGGGTCTCACAAGAGCAGAGTAGAGGGGGAGGATCACCTCCCTCAGCCTTCTGGCCACACCTCTTGATGCAGCCCAGGATGCAATTGGCTTTCTGGGCTGTGAGCGCACATTGCTGGCTTGTATTCAGTTTTTCATCCACCAGAACCCCCAAGTCCGTCCTTCGTTAAGAAACCTTCACTGGTTTCTTAAAATGCCTCTCCCTTCTGGTAAGCCTTTCTTCTTTTTATCATCCATTTAAGGCAACAGTCTTCACCTGGATGAACCTTACTATATTCCAGATTATGAGAAAATAGCTCTACGTTTTTCATTTGCAGTAAATAATAAGTAGTTTTGTAGATCACTGTGTCTCTTTATCTGGTCAACAATTTCTCATAAACTTTTCTCACTTTGAACATAGGTGAAGAATCACACCAGTTATTATTCTGCAATGAATAAGATGATATGCAGGTGTGTTTAGAAGTTGTGAGGACAAAAAAAAAAATTACTAGAGAGACA